CCCCCCGCTCAGACCCCTGCCCCCCCGGCCCCTTGCCACCCATTTGCCGAGCTTCTGTGGCGCAAAACGGGTACACTCACGCCGGCATCCTCGGCCTCGGGCAACCGCAGGTCAGAGAGAGAGATCGGAGAGAGAGAAGGTAGGATAGGGGGGGGATGAGACACGCAGGGGGGTTGCCCCTCTCTTTCTCGACTGTCGGTATTGAAATATCCTGGCCCTAGTGCGACGATGCCGCTTCTACCACGCTACGCAGCGGTTCTATTCCCTCTCTCCACCGCGGAACCTTTCTGTATTATGAGGGGGAAAGATCCCCCTGGCTTCACCTCTCGACAGCCCCTCGTCGCCCCTCCCTCCCCCTAACCCCCTCATCGTCCCCTTTGGCCCATGTTCTGGTGAATAACGAGTGACGCTGCTGGTTACCGACTGTTGGGGTTTGCGTTCTTTTTCTCGGCATTAAAAAAAGCGGTCGACCGTTTATATGTGCTGATGTTTTTTTCCAGGGTTTTGGAGGGATTTGAGGGCTTTGGGTTAGGGGAGGGGTGGGGTTTTTGGATGGGGAGGATTTTACGGAGTTTTTGGAGGGATTTTGAAGTGGTTTTTGGATTTTTTCGGGAATTGCAGGGGTTTTGAGGGGACAGGGTTAGGATGGCGAGGAGGGGGGAGGGGAGGGTCTTTTTTTAGGGCTTTGAGGGCGAGGAGGGGAAAATGAAGGTTTTGGGAGGGAACTTTAGAGGTTTCGCGGTTTTAAATAAAGCCCTACCGTTTATATGTGGTGATGGTTTTTGCAGGGTTTTGGAGGGATTTGGCGGCTTTGGGGTAAGGGAGGGATGGGGCAGGGAGGGTGGGGTTTTTGAAGGGGGGAATTTTACGGAATTTTGAATTGATTTTCGAGTTTTTGTAGGGAAAGTTTCTGGGTTTTTAGGGAAATTGTAGGATTTTTTAAGGAATAGGGCTACGGAAGGGAGTGGCGAAGGGGAGAAGGGATAGGGTTATCCTTCTCTGAGGATTTGGAAGGGTCAGGGGACAAAGATGAAGGTTTAGGAGAGAGATTTTCGGGGTTTCTGTGCGCACAAGTCAATATCCTTTAGCAGAGGAATCCGAAAATTCGACTGATTGGAGGAATTTGAGGGTTTTTCTATCGGATTCAATTCTAGGGGATGGAAGGGGAAAGAAGGGCAGAGACTAGTGTTGATTAGCATTAATTTGAGGGTTTAAAGTAAGTTAGGGGAGCCTGACATGGGAAGAGGAGTAGGGCAAGGATTTTTGGAAGGTTACAGGAGAAAATGGAAGGTTCTAGAGATTGGAGTCACGTAGTAGATTTGCGGATTTTTTTTCAGATCTGGATCTAGGGGTGGAAGAAGGGAATAGGGGCAAGAAAGGGCTTTAATTGGCATTCAGCTTCACAGATTAATCAAGCCTTAGAAAGAATTTCTTTATTTTTCCTAGAAAACCTCCAGTTTTTTTAGAGAATTTTTGAATTCTAGGGGAGTTTAAGGGTTAAGTTATAAGTGCGGAGGGAGGTACCATGGTTTTTCTCATGGTGAAGCGTGAAGGCATTAAGTTGACTCAGGGATTTTAGTGTGAAATTTCTCAGGTTGTCATGTTGTTTTTTGGCGGGAAAATACAGATGAGTGAATTACACTCGATATTTTGAGTTCATCATGGGTAGAGTTATCTCGGGTAGTAGTCGCGTTGAAACCGCAAATGGTCACGCAACAATACGCGCGACGACCTCAACTCGAGAAATCATCTCATGCTGGAGTGATTTTGCCTCCGGAGGCGAGGTTCACGGATGATAGCAATGCTGATAGAGGGAACAGTGTGTCTCGGCGATCAAAGACATCCGGTTCATTGTTGGGCACGGTATCTCCCACTCCCCGAATATCTCGAATCTCTATCTAACTATTCAGTGGTTCATGGCTCTCCAAATGGAATTCTAACCAACAAGTTTCATTTTCAATTCCGTCAATCATTTTACAATTTTTTTACTCGATCCCTCATATTCAGTTTTCATAAACTCCATAACCTTAATTTTTTCCATCAATTTTGTCAAAAAATTTCGATCAAAATTTTTTTTATTTTTTTTTTGGAATATGGGAAGACATAATTTTCAATCACTTTGGATTTTTTAGGCTTGTACAATTGAATGAAAATGTTTCCGCGGAGGTATGAAGGGACGCCTCGGCGCGCGCCTCCGGTATTTCCCGAGCGCGATTCTTGTCAAAAACGAGCATCTCGTATCTCTTAAACTATTGAGGCTAGAAACTTGATTCCTTTTCCAATGGATTCTAGATCATTTGTCACGGTCAACACTAGTTGTCTCATAATTTTAGCTCAATTAGTTTTTTAGTTATTGGCAATTGAAGGTTTGAGGCTGTCTGAGAATAATCGACAATTCCCGGACCTTTTCCCTCATTTTTCAGCCAAAAATCCTCAATTTTTCGTCGAAATTTTTATAAATCCTTAATTCTGAATTTTTTTACGGATTTATCAGTCGTTTTTCGAGACGATTGTTATTAATTTTATCAATGATTGTTAACAAATTTTGTTATTGTTTCGGGAATTTTAAAATTCTGGATTAATGAACGAAGTAAGAAGAAGAGATTCAGCCGAATATCTAGGTTAGACTGAAGATTGAGTAATTTTTTTAGGTTAAACCCACAAAAATAGTTTAACAAGTCGAGATTTCCGTTGATCCAAGACATTCTCACTCTGAATTTACGCCGTCATTTGAACCCCAGCAAATGTCTCAAGTGAATCTTGGGCATGCAGGAGTAGAGTCTCGATACCCAACTGATTCAAGATATTTCCCTATCCACAGATCTCGATGCACGACCGCGCGTGGGCATTAGCATGCAGCCGATGTATTTATGCAGCACATCCTAAGGCCGCGAGGAACGTTTTTATAATGCCTCAAGGTAAGTACTCTTTCTCACACATTCTCAACATCGGAAAAATCCCGGAGAACAAAGAAACAGCGAAAAACTCGTGTTTCGCTGGCTCCACAAGATGGCGGAATCTCTCTCAAAATGGCCGCCAAGAGCGC